AAAATTTGTCCTGGTTTTGCCACTATGATTCCAGGTCTCATTTTCTCTATCTGTACAAAAAGGTTCACACAGACTAATGATCTCAGGTCTCGCCCAACTGTGTAATTCTATGATTAACTGTTAATAAATTGTATTACCAAAAAAAAGCTCAAACAATTTAGAAGCAATCCAATTTTCCAATGGTAACAGTTTGATCATTTTTCATTTTGAAGATACTGACAACCCAGCTTCTACTGGTCTGGTCTGCAGGGGTATGCTCATTTATTCTATTGTGGAAATAAAATGTTGGTTAATGTATAGAAAATGGAGAAAATTTCTCAAGGTTAGAGTCACACAGACCATCTAATATAAAGACCTCATTTTAGAAAACCAGATGAAAACTCAAATGGCACCTCCCTAGTTAAATAAAACCAACACAAAGCTTTAACTTACCAGTTTGATATGCAGCTTCTGCTGCCATCTCTGAAAGACCAACTGCAGTCATCCAAGTGGTTTCCAGCTTCAAGTATTCTTGTTGTTTTGAAGTCATCTATATAAAACAAGCAAAGTGCTTCATACAGCCTGAGAGTATGTATAGCCCATTTAAATGGACTTAAAGTAGTAGATTTAGAGAACAGTCACTGATTATATTCGACTTAATAATTTAGATACTACCTGAGGTAGGTGCACTAACACAGAAATGCCTATAACTTTTTGCTTACCTCAACTCTGGCTCCTATGATCACCTGCCACACTTCATCTTCCTCCTGTGAATTCATTTTCCCAAGTAAACTTGTATATTGTCGGTAAAGAGAAACTAAGGTATAAACAGCCTACAAATACAGAATGAATAAGTATGAGTAAAATAAGTGAGACATATTAGAAGGAATAGAGAGACTTCCACCTAAAGGAAATTAAGTCCCATTATAGCAAACTGGCTCTTTCATACTGCTGCCTCACTGAAAAACTGTACTATTATCCTATGAAGTAAAGGTGTCACTCCAGGACATCAATATTTTTATCTGCAAACTTCTGTGGTTTTAAAAGCTTGTCAACAGAGAATACAATGCAAGGGAAAACTCTAAAGCCTCAGAAAAACAGCTGCTAGAAAATATATGTAAAATAAATGCAAAAATGAAACTTCAATAATTTTGATTAGCTACTTTTTTTTTTTTTTTTTAACACAGAGTCTCTGTCTCACCCAGGCTGGAGTGCAGTGGCACGATCTCAGCTCACTGCAGCCTCCACCTCTTGGATTCAAGTGATTCTCCTGTGTCAACCTCATGAGTAGCTGAGATTACAGGCGCATGCCACAACACCTGGCCAATTCTGTATTTTTAGTAGAGACAGGGTTTCACTATTTTGGCTAGGCTGGTCTCAAATTCCAGACCTCAGGTGATCCACCCGTCCTGGTCTCCCAAAGTGCTGGGAATACAGGCGTGAGCCACTATGCCCAGCATCCATATACTCTTTAAAAAATTTATTTTTTACAAACAGGGTGCAACATCACCCATACTGAAGTATAGTGGCATGATCAGAGTTCACTGTAACCTCAAACTCCTGGACTCAAGTGATCTACCCAGCCTCTGGAGTAAGTGGGAATACAGGCACACAATACACTATGCCTGGCTAAGTTAGTTAAAAATTTTTTTTTGGTAGGGATGGGGCTGGCTATGTTGACTGGGCTGGTCTTGAACTCCTGGCCCCATGTGATCCTCCCACCTTGGCACCCCAAAGTGCTGGGATTACAGACGTGAGCCACCATGCCTGGCCCATACTTGTTTAGATCGGTGGTTTTTAAATAATCCTTACAGAGACGCCTCTGTTGATAGACCATGGACCCCTTTATCTGTAACTGAACCACATCAGCTTGACTCCTGTTTTATATTCTAAGCTGCCATATTTAAGATTTTTCTGTAAAAAAAAAAAGTTCCTGGAAAAAGTCTAAAAACCAGTGATTTAAATCAGGGGTCAGCAAACTTTCTTTGTGAAGGGCCAGACAGTAAATATTTTAGGCTTTGTGGGCCTTATAGCCTCTGTTGAAACTACTCAAACTCTCAAAAACAGTTATTGACAATACATAAATAAATAGGCCAGGCTATGTTCCAATAAAATACCAACATGGGCATCAGACAATTTGGTTTGAGTCATTATTTGCTAAACCATGATTTAGAAGAGCAAGAGTTAACAAGAGGAGACATACCTTAGTATATTCAGTAATAGCTTCAATCAACGCATATGTGGTCTGAGAGAGAAAGGTAGAAGTGCTGTCTGTTACCAAAGACACTGCCCTCCTCATCAATGCTTCATTACTAAGGGAATGAGGCTCCGATTTCTGAAAGACACAAACATTGTCACTAGACCCCTAGAGCTCAAACTGAGAACTTTTTCACCAACAGGCAAGTAAAAAAACATAATTGTCATGCTGCTTAGTGTTTTAAGCTGAAACTGCATTACATTTTTGGGAGTTACAGTTTTTAAGGCCTTATTTAGGCAATTTAAGACAATATAGGGAAGTAATTCCAGAGTATGCTTTCTACTGACTTTCATTCTCTGCTCCAAAAAGCAAATTATTTCTTTATATATAAAATAAAATGGGGCTAGGCATGGTGGCTCACGCCTGTAATCTCAGCATTTGGGAGGCCGAGGCAGGGCAGATCACTTGAGGTCAGGAGTTCGAGACCAGCGCAGCCAACATGGCGAAACCCCATTCATACTAAAAAATACAAAAATTAGTCGAGTGGTAGTGGTGTGTGCCTGTAATCCCAGCTACTTTGGAGGCTGCGGCAGGAGAACTGCTTGAATCTGAGAGGCGAAGGTTGCAGTGAGGCAAGATCATACCACTGTACTCTGGCATGGGCGACAGAGCAAGACTCAAAAAAACAAAACAAAAAAACCCACACAAAAAAAATGCTCTTGATTATAACCAACAGATTCATATGATTAAAATTCATTAAGTGTTAGATACTTGAGACACAAAGTCTCAATAAGACATTCTCTGCCCTCAAACACAGGTGCAGGGGCAGAAAGAGGAAGATGATGGGCTAACAGAACTAGAAAAGTGAACACAATCATGAATCATGGAAGCAGTGGCAGAAGTATGTATGAGCTACAGTGGAGGCACGCAGAAGGGAGCAATCAGTTCTATGCAGAGTGATAATGGCTTAAAAAAGGCTTCACAAATTTGATGAGGATTAAGCCGAGTCTAAGTGGATAGGGAGGGCAATTTGGAGCAGAATGAAGCAGTAGGGTGTTGATGGGGGGACCTCAGCTATTTTATTTGATTTTTTTTTGAGACAGAGTCTCACTCTGTCACCCAGGCTGGCATGCAGTGGCTCAATCTTGACTCATTACAACCTCTGCCTCCCAGGCTCAAGCAATTCTCTTGCTTCAGCCTCCCAAGTGGTTGGAATTACAGGCACCTGCCACCACACTTCGCTAATTTTTTTTGTATATTTAGTAGAGATGAGGTTTCACCATGTTGCACAGGCTGGTCTTGAACTCCTGATCTCAAGTGATATACTCACCTTAGCCTCCGTAAGTGCTGGATTACAGGTGTGCGCCACTGAGCCTGACCTCACCTCAGCTATTTTAAAAAAGAAAAGACCAATATAATCACCTGTGGCTACCTTGACTAAATACTGGCAACTGTAACGACACATCATCCATGACTCTCTTTTTCCTCCTCAGCAAAGCACTTCTTATATCAGAAGCAACAAAGAAATCAGTCACTTGGCTGGGTGTGGTGGCTCATGCCCGTAATCTCAGCACTTTGGGAGGCCGAGGCAAGAGGATAACCTGAGGTCAGGAGTTTGAGACCAGCCTAGCCAACATGGTGAAACTTCATCTCTACTAAAAATACAAAAATTAGCTGGCGTGGTGGTAGGCGCCTGTAATCCCGGCCACTTGGGAGGCTGAGGCAGGAGAATTGCTTGAACCCAGGAGGTGGAGGTCGCAGTGAGCCGAGATTGCACCAATGCACTCCAGCCTGGGTGACAAGAGTGAAACTCCATCTCAAAAAATAAATAAATAAATAAATAAATAACACCATGTTCTGTCTTGTTTTTGATATTCAGAGTACCAACACTCAGAATCACTGCATGTTGAAAGCATCAGTCAAAAAATATTTTTGATATGAACAAATCAACAACTTTATATTTCATTCAATCAAGTACAAAGGGAAGAATGACATCTCTGCTCACAAGAAGCTAATTTTGTCTTTATGTTCTGATAAGTCTTCATATATTTTAGAATGTGTTTTCACTTGTTTCTCACAACAGTCCAGTTATTATCACTTTTTTTTTTTTTTTTTTGAGACGGAGTTTCGCCCTTGTTACCCAGGCTGGAGTGCAATGGCGCGATCTCGGCTCACCGCAACCTCCGCCTCCTGGGTTCAGGCAATTCTCCTGCCTCAGCCTCCTGAGTAGCTGGGATTACAGGCATGTGCCACCATGCCCAGCTAATTTTTTGTAGTTTTAGTAGAGACGGGGTTTCACCATGTTGACCAGGATGGTCTCGATCTCTTGACCTCGTGATCCACCCGCCTCGGCCTCCCAAAGTGCTGGGATTACAGGCTTGAGCCACCGCGCCCGGCTATCACTTCTTTTCTACAAGCAACAACATGGAAGCTCAGAATAGTTATGTAACTTTTCTAAAAAGTCACATCTAGACCTCAAACCAAATCTCACTCCAAAGTCTGCACCCTTCCCATTACGCTTTGCTGATTCAGGAGAGTGCGATACGATTATCATAGAATATTAAAATATACACTATTAAGTGGCCGGAAAGGAGACAGTTGTTGGACAGGAATAAGGAAAGGTTTTAAACCGAGGTGAGACTTGGTACTAAAGACTCCTAGAATCAGAATGGCCAGGCATCCTGGATAATAGGAAACAATGAGGAAAAGAATTCATTTGTTGCAGGGGATGCCAAGGATTTAGACTGGCTGGAGCAATGGCACAAGACAGATGAGACTCATTAGGGCTCTGGAGTGCAGGGCGACTTAGCTGGATTTTAGTTCTGAACACCTCATGGAGAGCCACTCTAAGTTTTTCATTTCTCATTCTGTCACTCAGGATGGAGTGCAGTGTTGTGATCCCAGCCGACTGCAGCCTTGAACTCCTGGGCTCAAATGATCCTCCCACCTCCCAGGTAGCTAGGACTACAGACACACGCCACTACACCTGGCTGTTTTTTGTAGAGGGGAGGTTTTGCTATGTTGCCCAGGCTGGTGTCAAACTCTTGGCCTACGGTGATCTTCCCTCTCAGCCTCCAAAAGTACTGGGATCACAAGACTGAGCCATCATGCCTAGCTGACCACTGAGGGGTTTTAAAGAATGAAAGTGGGATTGCTGTACTAAATGACTAGAGGCCTCAGTCATGTGGCCCAGAACTGAGGTAAGTGGGACTTAGGAAGTAATATAATAACTGAGAAAGGACAAAAAAAAAAAAAAAAAAAAAAAAAAAAATCTTTTGAATGAAAAAATGTTGTCCCAGTTGTGGCAGAAAATGGCCTGGTATTCCAGTGAGTGTAGTTTTAGGGCTATAGATTCATCAGCATGCAAGGATTGACAACTGAAGTGAAGTACAGTAAGGCAAGGGCTCATGAGTGAGCCTCAGAAGATGCTGAAAATACCTGTGATACATGAAATCTTGCTTTTGTGATGAACACACACATCAGTAGCAGGAATATTTTGCTGAAATGGAGCTTGCTGGTTTCCTACCTAGTTCTTACCATAAACCATTTAAGCTACAATTTTTTAAATGAAATGCCCCTTCCCCCCCGTTTTTTTTTTTTTGAGACAGAGTCTCGCTCTGTCTGTCGCCCAGGCTGGAGTGCAGTGGTGCAATCTTGGCTCACTGCAACCTCTGCCTCCCAGGTTCAAGCAATTCTTTTGCCTCAGCCTCCCGAGTAGCTGGGACTACAGGCACGCGCCACCATGCCCAGCTAATTTTTTGTATTTTTAGTAGAGATGGGGTTTCACCATGTTGACCAGGATGGTCTCGATCTCTTGACCTCGTGATCCACCCGCCTCGGCCTCCCAAAGTGCTGGGATTACAGGCGTGAGCCACCGCGCCCGGCCTTTGTATTATTAGTAGAGATGGGGTTTCACCAAGTTAGCCACCATGGTCTTGATCTCCTAACCTCATGATCCGCCTGCCTCAGACTCCCAAAGTGCTGGGATTACAGGCATGAACTACTGCACCCGACCAAAGTGCCATTTTTTAATCAACTACTTAATAGACAGCTCTACCTAGATGTTTCTTAGACATCTTGGAAATGATATTTCCAAAACTGTGAATTGATTTTTTTTTTTCCCTTTCAAAATCCACTCCCCTCCATCCTACTAAATGTCAGCTCCAATCATTCAGTTGCTAAGGCCTTTAAAAAAATCTTGGAATCGGCCAGGCACAGTTGCTCAGGCCTATAATCCCAGCACTTTGGGAGGCTGAAGCAGGTGAATCACCTGAGGTCGAGAGTTTGAGACCAGCCTGACCAACATGGAGAAATCCTGTCTCTACTAAAAATACAAAATTAGTCAGGTGTTGTGGCACATGCCCATAATCCCAGCTACTCCAGAAGCTGAGGCAGGAGAATCATTTGAACCCCGGTGGCAAAGGCTGCAGTGAGCTGAGATTGTGCTATTGCACTCCAGCCTGGGCAACAAGAGCATAACTTCGCCTCAAAATAAAAAAATAAATAAATCTTGGAATCTAAAGTGGTGGCCCTCAACCTTTGTGGCACCAGGGACCAGTTTTGTAGAAGACAATTTTTCCATGGACTGGGTGAGGGAGGATGAGGTGAAACTGTTCCATCTCAGATCATCAGGCATTAGATTCTTATAAGGAGCACACGACCTAGGTCCCTTGCACGTGTAGTTCACAAAAGGGTTCATGCTCTTATGAGAATCTAATGCCACTGCTGATCTGACCAGAGGCGGAGCTCAGGCGGTAATGCTCGCCTGCCTGCCACTCACCTCCTGCTGTGCAGCCTGCTTCCTCACAGGCCACAGACCAGTACTAGCCCAGGGGCTGGGGACCCCTAATCTGGAGAATACATCCCACATCCAATCCATCAGCAACTCCTGCTGGCTATGTTCAGCTAAATTCTCCTCACCTCTCCTGTTGCCTGGTCCAAGCCACTATCATTTCACGCCTATATATGGCAAGATCTTTCTATTAGTCTTCCTAGTTCCACACAGCAACTTTTAAAAACTTTTAAAATTTAGGCCGGGTGTGGTGGCTCATGCCTGTAATCCCAGCACTTTGTAAGGCCGAGGTGGGCGGATCACCTGAGGTCGGGAGTTCGAGACCAGCCTGATGAACATGGAGAAACCCCATCTCTACTAAAAATACAAAATTAGCCAGACATAGTGGCACATGCCTGTAATCCCAGCTACTCAGGAGGCTGAGGCAGAAGAATCATTTGAACCCAGGAGGCAGAGGTTGGGTGAGCCCAGATTGTGCCATTGCACTCCAGCCTGCCAACAGAATGAGAGACTCTGTCTCAAAAAAAAAAAAAAAAAATTCCGGTGGCTTCTTTTTCAGAATAAAACCAAAAGCCTTACAATGGCCCACAAACTATAAAGCACACGATCTGATTATCAGTTAACTCTCTGGCTTCATTACTGTTTCCCCTATTCCACTTCAGCCACATTAACCTCCTTGCTCCTCAAACATATCAGGCATACTTCTGCTTTTAGGTCTCTGCCCTTCTGAGTTCCTTCTGCCTGGAAAGCTCTTCTCCCCACCAGATAGTATAATGGCTTACTTTTTCAGAACATTCAGATCCCTACTTCTCTACACTCAGAGTAGCTCTACTACTCTACATTCAGAGTAGCTCTTCTTGACCACCTTTATCTAAAACAACCCCCTCCCAGTATTGCCTATTCACTTACCCTATTTGTTTTTTCTTTTTTTTTTTTGAGAAAGGGTCTTGCCCTGTTGCCCAGGCTAGACAGCAGTGGTGAGATCACAGCTCACTGCAGCCTCAAACTTCTGGGCTCAAGCAATCATTCTCCTGCCTCAGCCTGCTTAGTAGTTGAGACTACAGGTATGAGCCACCACACCTGGCTAATTTTTTTCTTTTTTTTGAAGAGACAGAGTCTCCCTATGTTGACCAGGCTGGGTCTCAAACTCCTGGGTTCAAGCCATCCTCCCACCTTGGCCTCCCAAAGCACTGGGCATCAGCCACTGTGCCTGGCCCTGTTTTCTTCTTACCACGTATTACCAGCTGATAATTTTATATTTATTTATTTGCTCCTCTTTCATCTCCACAAAGCATTTTGTGAGAGCAAGAATTTTTTATTGTTGTTCATTCTTACTTTCTCAGTACCTGGCACATAAAAGTTGCTCAATAAATTTTTGTTAAAGACTATTTTGCTCATAGACTGTAATATCCTCTTATTTCTCTTTTTTTTTTTTGAGACGGAGTCTTGCTGTTACCCATGTTGGAGTGCA